AAAGTGCCACAGGGACAGTGCCATGTCCCCTGTGCATGCTGTGGGCTGCTCGGGCCCCCCCTTTCCCTCCTGGGTGGCAGGTGCTCCCCACCTGCAGCAGCTCCCTGTGGGACAGCGCGTCCCTGCAGCCAGGGGATGGAGGGGTGGGCCCCCCCAGCAGCTGCTGCTCTTCCCTGGGTTGCTCCAGGCGAGAGGGGCCTCGCTAGCGCCCTGCAGCGTAAGGGGGTGCAGAGCAATCCCCCAGCGCCACTCCTGCGTGCTGCAGGGCAGCCCCGCACACAGGAGCTGGGGCCTGGGCCCGCCTCCCCTCTGCACCTGTGCCAGTGTCGCCCATCCAACCGTTCACAGCGAGGACCAGAGCTCGGGGAAGGTGGAGGCAGCTCTGAGCGGGAGGGAGCTGGGCACACAGACATACACACCACTGGAGGGTTAAGCGAAGGAGTGTTGCACACGCAGAGACTAGGACAGCAGCAGGAGAGGGGCCAGTGTCATTCCAGCGGCTCAGGCTCCCGGGGTGCTGTTAGCACATGCGCTTGTACGTGTAGATGTAGGCCTTGCAGTTGGGACACGTGTGTGTCACGTCCTTGAAGTCATCAAACAGGCAGGGGATCAGGCAGCAGCAGAGATCACACCTGGAGCACAGGAAGAGGCAGAGCACTGTGAGCTCGGGTGCCCCAGAGGCAGCCTGTGGGCTCGGGGGATGGACACAACAGACATCTGGGGGTCACTCTGGGTATGGGCAAGAGAGGTGACTCCTCGTCCCTGGGAGCCAACCGTGACCCCCTGCTGCTGCAAAGGGCAGCACAAAGCTCCCTGACGCTTGGGCTGTGCTGCTGCTCCCACTGCAAGGGTGAAGCGCTGCGTTAGTGTCTCGCCCACTCATGGAGGGAAGGGACAGCCTGGTGAGATGCAGGTGGACCATGAGGCCTGACCTGCCACCACTGCTGGGGCAGGGGGCTGAGACAAGCCCCCATCCCCTCCCACAGCCCTCTATGCTGTCAGTCCTTGGCAGCAAGGCAAGATGGTGGCTCTGTGGGGTCTGGGCTAGGGGACGGACAGCTCCTGCTCTGCGGCCAGGTTCTACAACAGGCCGTTGGAGGTGGCACCTTCCCCTCTCCAGCAGAAGCCCAGGTCTCTGGGCACTGTCACCCCAGGGGCCCATCTGCTGCCCCAGTAACACCTCGGTGCCAAGGCCCCTGCTGTGCCCAACAGCTCGGCCAAGGCTGCCAGGACCAGGGTTGGGCAACCACCATCACCGCAGGGCTGCTGGGAGCAGGGAGGCCCCAGCCCT